AAAGGAGGTCCCTCCACATGGAAAAAGCTGGTGTAGGGAAGAAATGTTCCCCTCAGCACTGTTCACTTATTCCTGATATCTAGATTACTCAAAGCAGCCCTGGCTCCAATCATTCCTGAGGCCGGTGGTTGTACAACTGTACCCTCCCAATGAATTCCTTTTTTGCTTAATATAGCCAGAGTTTTTTTCTAGTGTTTACATCCAAAATATGTATTCGTTTCCTATTGCTACTGTAACAAATTACTACAAATTTGATGGCTTAGAACAACACATATTTATTATCTTACAGTTTTGGAGGGCAGAAGTCCAAAATGGGTCTTATGGGACTAACATCAAGGTGTCAGCAGGACCAGGTTTTTTCTGGAAGTTCTATCTGAGAACCCATTTCCTTGTCTTTTCCAGCTTGAGAGGCTGCCATCATTCCTTGACTTGTAACCCCCCAGCCAGCAGTCACATCACTCTGACCTCTGCTCGCGTCATCACAGCTTCTCTGACCCCCTGCCTCCCTCCTTCCCTTTATAAGGACCTTTGTGATTATATTGGGCCCACCCAGATAATCCAGAATAATCTCTAAATCTCAAAATTCTTAATTTAATCACATCTGCAATGTCCCTTTTGCCATGTAAGATAACATGGTCACAGGTTTCAGGCATTGGGACGTGGACATCTCTGAGAGGCTACTTATTCTGCCTACCACAAAACACTAATAGCAACACTTACTTTGTCTTGCATCCACCTCTTTGTCTCCTCTCCAGTCTGTCCCGTAAGTGATTTATAAAACGTGAATCTGGTCGTGACTGCCCTAAGAGACTTCCTGATTCCCCAAAACCCATTGAATAAAACCCACAGCATACCCTTCTCTTTCCTGCTGCTGAGGGTTTGCTCCAAGTGTTCTATCAGCCTGAAATGTCCCCCACCTCAAAGCCAAATAAATCCTCTCCATCCTTCATGGTCCTTCTCTTTCACAAAGACCTCCATGATCCCTCTAGTCAGGACCTAGCTTGACCATGAGCTCCACATCTGTTACCTGGCAGCATTGGGCACCAGCCAGTCAGACAGACCTCAGCTCAAATCTCTGCTCAGCCACAGGTTGGTCATGTGACCCCGGTCAAGGTACTTAACCTCCTTGTGCCTTAGTTTCCTCTATTAAAAAGATGCAGATGGCCTGGCCTGTGGCACACTCGGGAGAGTGCGGCGCTGGGAGCGCAGCAGCGCTCCCGCCGCGGGTTCATATCCTATATAGGGATGACCAGTGTGCTCACAGTGCTCACTGGCTGAGCGCGGAGCAGCCGGTCTCAAAAAAGGACAAAAAAGAAAAAAAGAAGAAGCAGATAATAAGGTAGTTATCTCCTCCGTAGGCTGTTGTGAGAATTAAATGAGATAATGCATGCAAAGTGCTTAGCCAACTGCTTGGCACATACTACCCAATAAATAGGTAGATGTTGGCAGTTATTATTAAAACTTAATAGTGAGAGAATAAATGAATGAGATACTTTCTCCTCCTGGGCTGTCAGTATTCAGTATTCCTCTTATGGTTCCTTAGTATGCCCCAAAGCCTAGAACTTTTTTTTTTTTTTTTAAGAAGGTGACTGGTAAGGGGATCTTAATCCTTGACTTGACGTTGTCAACACCACACTCTCCCAAGTGAGCTAACCAGCCATCCCTATATAGGGATCCGAACCCGTGGCCTTGGTGTTATCAGCACCGCACTCTCCAAAGTGAGCCATGGGCTGGCCCTAGAACATTTTTCTTTCTTTTCTTTTTCTTTTTTTTTTTTTTCCCCAGTGAGCCATGGGCTGGCCCTAGAACATTTTTCTTTCTTTTCTTTTTCTTTTTTTTTTTTTTTCCCCTTTTGTCTTTTTTTGTGACCAGCAATGGATCGCAACCCTCAGTGTCACGCCCGTACCGGACCGGGACCGGCAACGGGATCGCAACCCTCAGTGTTGCGCCCGCACCTCGCTCAGCCAGTGAGCGGCCGGTCTGTATGTGGGATCCGAACCCTGGGCGGGAGCGCCGCCGCACTCGCAAGCGGCGCAGTGTAGCAGTGCGCCACCAGGCCGGCCCCAACATTTTTCTAAACGAATGAATTAATCTTACATTTTGCATATTTATGGGTAGTCTTAGTTGCTTTGACGGTTAATGACACTGGCAACTCCAGTGAGGTTCTATGAAATTTCGTGTGGGAGTGCAAATGCATAAAATCACTCTTAGAAGACAAATCTGATGATATCTAATACTTTTTGGTCCAGCAATTTATCATCTTGTCAGAATCACTATAGGGACTGATGATGGAAAGGGAAGGCTGCTCCTGCTTCCCTTGCCTGACGCCCTGCACACAGCAAACCTCAAAAAAAACTCTTGCCTTATTGGATTGAAGCAAACTTTGGCCACATAAAGGCTTCCACCAGAGAAAATGTGCTTCCTCTCCCATCCCTAGCCCCACAAGCCCTGTACTCCCTGGGGCACCTGCTTGTCATCCCCAGTCTTAACTGTGACTCAGCTACTGAGTGACTTCGGACTGGTTACTGCATATCTCTAGGCCTCAACTTCCTTTCTGAAAAAATGGGCATAATAATAATCCCTGCTTCCTTCAGGGTCACTGGGAGGATCCAACAAGATCAAGCAGGCACTACATAAAAGTCCAATGTGGAGATGAGAAACGAATGTTAACTTCTTCTGTAAGGTAAAGTAAAAGAGACCCCAGCTGAAGGGATAGCAAACTCATCACTAGGATGTAGAAAATGAGTTGCTGTGAGCCTGTGGGGAAACACAATGGTTTCATAATCACGCTCTCAACTAAAGGTCCAAAGGGGCCCTTGGGCCTGGATAAAACCTTCACACACCAAAAAGCTGTAGAAGTTATTTCCCCATCCAAGGGAAGGTCGTCTCTCTTGAGAAAAACTATCTTTTCCTGACTTAAAATGTTTTTCTTGGGCTGTCCTCTTAGCTCACGTGGGAGAGCTTGGTGCTGATAAGAACCAAGGTCAAGGGTTCAGATCCCTTTATAAAGTGTTAACCTAGAAAAAAAAAAACATTAGAGAAAAACATCTCTAAATATGTTGAGTTTATTTGGGAATGGAAAGTAGGATTACAGTCTAGAATGCATAGCATGACGAGCCACGAATGCATTTGGTGAGGGAAGAAAAAGCTTTTTTTTTTTTTTTTGACAAAAAGGGAGACATTCGGGGCCGGCCAGGTGGCGCACTGCTATAGTGCGCTGCTTGGGAAGCGCGGCGGCGCTCCCGCCCAGGGTTCGGATCCCACATACAGACCGGTTCCCGCTCACTGGCTGAGCGAGGCGCGGGAGCAACACCGAGGGTTGTGATCCCGTTGCCGGTCCCGGTCCGGTACGGGGGTGACACTGAGGGTTGCGATCCGTTGCCGGACACGGAAAAAGACAAAAAAAAGAAAAAAAAAAAAGGGAGACATTCATGCAAGCTACTTGGAAACAGTTCATTGGTTTTGGAGGCTCAAAGTCAGATTTGTCATCAGTTCATTGGTTGAGATGCTGTTACTGGGCAGTTTCTTCTCAGAGCATCTTATCTGAATTATTGCAGTTCTAACGAATGTCTAGTGATAAACTTGTCAAAGAAATGTGCGTGTGTACAAACCAGGAGATGCATGAAGGACATGAAGGATAAGAAAGGACTTCAGGCTGACCGGTTAGCTCAGCTGGTTAAGAGCGCAGATTTATAACCCAAAGGTCTCTGATTCAGATCCCATACCCGCCATCCCCTCCCCCCAAATCTACTCAAGAGTAAAATTTAAAAAATAATAAAAGAAATTTAAAAAAACAAAACTTCTGATGGGTTTTAGAAAATCCTTGGAAACAGTTCTTATCTCAGATAAAATCCTGAGGTCCTCTGCCCCTCTTCCTGCCTTTTCTGGGCCCTATTTTGTCAGGATCTGACAGAAAGTGATTTCATCAACTTTCACAAAAGGTAATACGTGTTTACTACAGAATGTATTATAGAACCTTTGATAACATAACAATGCACAAAGAAGGGGAGAAGCTCCTCTAATCACACTACACAGAGGTCTCCACTTGTAACTATCAAACAAAATTGACATTTTGTTTTAATTGCAATTTTGTATCCTATGTGGTGAACATTTATTTGCCCATATGATGTTTTATATGATGGGAGGATTCCAACATACAAATTTGTTGCAATGTATTTATTTATTTATTTTTAAAGATGACCGGTAAGGGGATCTTAATCCTTGACTTTGTGTTGTCAGCACCACGCTCACCCAGTGAGCAAACCGGCCATCCCTATATGGGATCCGAACCTGTGGCCTTGGTGTTATCAGCACCGCACTCTCCCGAGTGAGCCACAGGCCGGCCCCTGTTGCAATGTATTTAACCAATCTCTTAGCAATGTATTTAACCAATCTCTTATTGCTGCACGTTGGAGTATGCCTTTGGCTGCTGTTGTTGTTGTTTTGTTTTGTTTTGCTTTGCTTTTATTTTGGCTTGTTTCTTTTGGGCTTTTGGCTGTTATAAGTGCTGCAATTAACATCTTCGTTACACAAATCTTTATACATATCCTTGATTATATCGTTTGAATTCCTGGAAGTGGAATTGCTGGACTGCCAATTGTCTTTTAAGGGTGATTTTACTCATTTACACTCCCACGGGAAATTTCACAGAACTTCACTGGAGTTGCTGGTGTCGTTAACTGTCAAATGCAAGCGAGAACTCTCCGCGCGTCCCCTTGTCTTCCTTCACGTCTTCCCGCCCACTCCGCACACCCGCCGCGAGCACCACGAGTACCCCTGTCCCCTCAGTCCATGCTGGCCCGCCCCTTCCTTACTCCCGCACCAATTCTGTCCAATCATAAGCAGCCTTTCTCATGATCGTCGTGCTGTTGGTAAGTTGAAGTGTCCGTCGCACTCAGGGGCGGGCGGAATGGGCTGACGGACGTGGCGATGAGCCAGTGTGAGTGGCGAGTGGGGCGTGCGTGGCGTGCGCGGCGCGCGGGCCTGGAAGTACTGAACCTGTGAGGTGTGCGGGCAGCCGGCAGTGAGAGGCTTTGGCAGATATGGCTCCCAACGCACCTGCGACCGAACCCGAGTATCCTAAAGGCATCCGGGCCGTGCTACTGGGGCCACCCGGGGCTGGCAAGGGTACCCAGGTGAGCGGCAGGACCGGGCTCGGGGGCGGAGCCCGCGGAACTCCAAGGTCAGGGCGGCCAGAGGTCCGGAAGCCTTCTTCTCGCCCGGGAGCGGGCGGTCGGCTGAGGCCTGGGGGGACTCTGGCCAGGGTCTTGGGTTCCGGCGAGACGTGTGGAAGAGTGTCCGAATTGGAGGTCGGGAGAGTCTGGGTTAGGATTAGAGTGCTTGAGAAATCCGGGCTTGAGGTCTCGTGTTAGGGAGTGTAAGGGCTGATTAGATCCCATAAGGGGTTAGAGCCTGGAAGGTTTGAGGGGCAGGATGAGCCCTGGGCTGAGGCATCTAGATTACAGGCTGAATGCAGGCAAGCTTTATGGCCCGATTACCTGCGCTTTGGGAGTGAATTGTCCAGAATCAGGGTTTTGTTCCAGGCACTAGGGGTAGAGGGACTATTAAAACAATAATTAATGACTGGGGTGGAGGAGCAGATGCAGCATGTGGGGCAGAGTGGGAGCTGGAGCGTGCCTGTTAGGAGTACTGCTAGGCGAAGTGAGGCATGGCCTGTGTGAGCTAGTTAAGTTGGCTGGATGGGAGAAAACCCAAGGCTCTCCCTGTTCCTCTGAAAGCTGGGGGTGGATGTATGGTACTGGTTTATAGCTTGGGGAGCCGTGGGGGTCTGGTTAGGTCCCTGAAGCTGAACCTTTGAGTAGAGCCCTAATTAAGGATTGGGAGTGCTCGTGGGCCTCAGCTTGGATTGGGATCTGAGGTCGTTAAGGACTAAGCAGTTCAGGATGACGCAAATGATTTTAGATGAGAGGGAACTTAACTTAACTTCCTCAATCAACAGGTAAGAAAACAGACTCAGAAAGGTCAGATGGCTTTCCCAAGTTAGTGAAATTGGTTTCATGGAGCCTGGGACCTCAGAAGCCATGGGCCTCCAGAAGATTGGAGTCAGAAATTACCTTCTGACTTAGGGGGCCTCACTTGGCATCTGGGCCTCTTTCAGATCTGGGACATAATGGGGCCATAGATCAGGGTTAGGATTTATGGTCTCTTAGGATTTAGAAACCTATATGTTGATTATTGTTGTCCCCTTCCTTCCTGGGCTTGGCATTGTCCCCCAGGCCCAATGCCTAGGGCTCTTGATTGTTGATAGGCTCTAAAGAGGGAATTTCTGGAGGTCTGAGCTTCCAAATGAAGGCGACTGCTCTGTGCCCATTCTTTTGTTCCTAGCACTTGCCACACTTTAAAAATCGTGGCAAACAGATCATCTTGCTCATTCTTGGGACCTCTATGGCACCTAACATTATTTTGTATTTGTTAGGGTTAGTGGAAATGGATGAATGATACAAATTAATGTGAGTGATGAGGAGAAGGGAGGTCTGGAAGACTATTATAAACTCCTATATAACTACTTTCTGTCTCTGGTTAGGAAGGATTGCTTTCCCTTGTCCTCAGTGATGTTGACATCACCTCTTTCCTGTTGCTACCACCCTCTGTTATTAGGTAACCTTCAGCCTAGGTATATTTAATCCCAGACAGCAGACTTTTGCTGTGAGTGACCAAGTATAAACAAGGTAGCTCAAATGTATTGATTTTTTTCTTAGCTCATATTGAAATCAATAATTTCAGTAGTTGTGAAATGGACAACCCCATCCCAGTGCTAAGACAATGGCTTTATAGTCTCACAAGCTATGTAACTTCTGAGCCTCAGTGTTCTGACCTGAAAAATAGGGATAATACCTACCTTTCTCCTTCAACATTTCATGAGCACCTAACAATGGGGATGGAGCAGTGAACAAGACTGATAAGGTCCTTGCCCAGGTAAACTAAAAGTTCTAAAGGATACTGAAAGATTATGTTACATATATTTACACAAGTCTCTTAACCTCCGTACACCTTTTTTTCCATAGTTGGAGCAATAGAAATACTGGCAGTTGTAGTTTTATGGAGTTTAAAAAAAAGTTCATAGGGCCGGCCCATGGCTCACTTGGGAGAGTGCGGTGCTGATAACACCAAGGCCACGGGTTTGGATCCCTATATAGTGATGGCCAGTTAGCTCACTTGGGAGAGCGTGGTGCTGACAACAAGTCAAGGGTTAAGATCCCCTTACCGGTCATCTTCTTAAAAAAAATAAGTAAAAAATTTTAAAAAGAGTTCACAAATCAGAAGTTGCAAATAGGTAGCCTACAGCAGTATTTAGCCTGCAGATACACCCTATACACCCTAACATTTTTATTATGAAGGGTTTTTTTTGGTTTGTGTGGGGTTTTTTTGGTGGCTGGTCAATACAGGAATCCAAGTCCTTGACCTTTGTGTTCTAAGGCTGCGTGCTAACCAGCCAGCCCATGAAGAGTTTTGAATATACAAAAGAAGACAGGATGGTATAATGAGCCCCCATGTCCCCATTATGCAGCATCCATCAACTGATGGCCATTGCTTGCTAGTCCACTGTCCCTTCACAAATTACCATAAAGTAGCTTCTGGGCATCATAACATTTCATTCGTAAATATTTCAGTGTGTATCTCCAAAAGATAAATTATTTTTTAAAAAACATAAGCTCAATACCCCATTTGTCTCACAAATGTGATCATTTAAGCCTCTTTTGATTTATAGGTTCCCTTTCTCTTTTTTTTCTTGTTGTTTTGTGGAAGAAACTGGGTTGTTTGTCCTGGGAGGATTATCCCTCATTCTGGGAATTTTCTACTGTATCCCTGTGGTGTATTTAACACCTTCCTCTATCCTCTATTTTCTGCGAATTGGTAGTTTGATCCATATACTTAATCAGATTCAGGTTTAGTGTTGTCCCAACTACTTCATAGGTGATGCTATGCTCTCCATTTGGGAAAACATGATGTCTCCCTGTCTCTGTGGTGTTCGTAGCTGTTGCTATTCACTGCCAATATTTCATTATTGGTGGCAAAATGAAGGTGTTCTTATTTATGTAATTTTTTTTCATTTATTAGCTGAAATATTTCTATAAAGAGAAACTTCCCCTAATCTGCTATTTGATTACCCAGTGGTATGGTTTGTATAGAAAAGGCAGCATAAATGCTTGATTTGTTCCCCTTATTTGTCAGTTTTCAAAATAATAAGTTGAGGACCGGCCCATGGCTCCCTCGGGAGGGTACGGTGCTGATAACACCGAGGCCATGGGTTTGGATCCTACATAAAGATGGCTGATTCACTCACTGGCAGAGCGTGGTGCTGACAACACCAAGCCAAGGGTTAAGATCCCCTTACCGGTCATCTTTAAAAAAAAAAAATAATAATAATAATAAGTTGACCATGAATGTTTTCAGTTGTGAAATTTCTCTTAAAAACAACCAGAGCTCCAGTTTCTCGTGAGAAAGAAATCAGACCTGAGTGCAGTTAGCCTCCATTCCAGTATGGCAGCAGTCACTTGCAGCTGAGTGGCATTGCTGCTTTGGATGGTCCATGTGCCCTCATGTCACTTGCACAGTCCCTTTCCCTGCCTCTTGCTTGCATTTGACTCACTTCATTTGCATTGCCTGCCTATACCTCTGTTGGCAGATGTTTGCAGTCTTTGATGTAGAAATCCCTAACCTAGGGTTAGTGCCTTGTGCCTGCTTAGTAATGTTTGTTTTTTCACCACTATTACTTCACGTTATACCTGCATAACTCAGTATTTTCTCTTTTATGTTGGCATGACTGAAATAATCTGTTTCCTTTTAAAACTCCTCACATGTAACTAAAATAGTTAAACATTTGAAAACTACATGCTTTTGTATCAATGTGATGTTTTAAAACATCTAGAATACTGGGGTTTGTTATTTTGTTTAAATAACTTTATTTCCCTGTCTCCCTTTTGGGGTTGATTTTTCTGCAGTGTAGCCAAAACCAAACGTGTGTTTCTTATTTTTTCTGCCAGCCCCTGCTCACAGTTTCTTCATGTGTTCAATCAATTCCTCAAGGCCAGGCACACTTTGGCAATCAGCTACCATTTTACAGGTCAGGCTCATCAGTTACGTCATTGCAGTGACACTCCCAACAACACTGAGACCCACTCTCTTATTCCGCCTTTTACAAATTGGAGAAATTGAAGTTCAAATGGCTTGCTAAATAGCAAATAATTGACAGAGCTTGCATCTGAATAACTCCAAAATTCCTGCTCTTTCTGCTGCTCTCTACTGCCCCAGGTTAGATTTTTCTCCTACTCTATGCATGTCTGGAAGAAGTGATAATTACAACATAGTCACTCTTTGCTCAATTATGGACAAACCCCAGTCTAAAGACTTTACATGGGTCACCTATTTAATCCTACAACTCTAGGGGGTAGGTCATGTTGTCATTCATACCTTTATAAAGAAACTGAGGCCCAGAGGCTTTATCTTGCCTCAGGACACACATATAGTAAGTAGCAAAGGCAGGATTGTATGTCTGACTTGCTCAGTCACTAAAATGCATAGTGGCTGTGTAGTCTAGTTGGAGGGGCAGAAATGAATATGCTTGCAAAAAATACATACTAGTGCAGGGTGCCATTTGAAAAACATCAGATGAGTGACTCTGACAAATGCTGGGTTAGTACAGGAATAGAACAAAAATTATAGTTTGTTGAAGATCTCCCCTTTATCCTCCTACCCGCCCAGTGAGGTTAATAATGATATCCCTAATAAGCTAAGCAGCAAAGCTGAAATTTAAACACAGATTTCTGTGATTTTTTTTTTAAACTTTATTCTTTTATAGATCCAAATGCTTGACCTTGGTATTATAACACTGCACTCTAACTGAGTTATCCAGCCAGCCCCATAAAACCTTTTTAATTAAAATATAGTATACATAGAGAAAGGTGCAAATATCATAAGTGAGCAGCCTGATGAATTTTTACAATGTGAACACACTTGTGTAGCTTACACCCTTATCAAGAATCAGAACAGTGCCAGCACTGTGAAGTCCTCCTTATGCTCCCTTCTAAATGTGCGTGTGCACACACTCACACCCTCCTGTAAGGATAGCCAGTAAGGCTCTGTGGGTGTTTGTTTTAAGTTCATAAAGTGTCATGAATAAGAGCTAGGGCTTGACAGTCTTGGGGCCAATTGCCAGCTCTGCTGTTACTAGCTATGTGATCTTGGGCAACTTAGCCTCTGAATTTCATCTGTAAAATGGAGATAATAAAAATAGTTCTTACTCATAGATTTATTATGTATTATGCATACTAAATACTATAAAACAGTGCATGGAAAATTGCTTGGCATGTAGCAGATGCTCAGAGTTAGCTGATGCTGATATGATTCCTGAAGAGGAAGAAGAGATAGTTGGGAGGTTTTTGATGGGAAAGATGGACTCAGAATTTGACTACAGAGAAGGTTAGGGCTTAGACCAGCAGGGGAAAGGAAGAGGGCATTCCTGTATAGAGGAGCTTGAGCTGAGGTTCTTGGAGAGGCATTACTTTATGTATTTGGGAACCATATGTAAGAGCAGCGGTGCAGGGTATACATACAATGCACTTGTGGAAGTAAGTTTGGAGAGCTTGGGAGGTGTAACAAGTTGATTGTGGAGAGCACTGAGGGTCAGGCTAAGATATTTGGACTTCTTTCCTATTGCACTGGGAAGACGTTGAAGGCTTCTGAATGTGTGTGTGTGTTGGGGGGTAGGTAGCCTTTCCAACAGTATTTTAGGATATGATTCTAGCTGTATGTGCAGGAGCATTGGAGGTGAGAGTGGGAAAGACTGGAGGTAAAAAGACGATTGTGAGGTGAAAAAACGCGTTAAGTTTGAATTAAATCAAATCTCAAAAGAGCTGGATGGTTAGCTCAGTTGGTTAGAGCATCATGGTGCTTGATAAGACGAAGGTCCAGGGTTTGATCCCGGTACCAATCCCTGTACTGGCCAGCCACCAAAAAAAAAAAAAAATCTTGAGGACTGATAGTTTCCCTTTATTTCCTAAATGCCAGGCACTGTGCTGGATGTTTTTGCATACATAATCTATCTATTCAGTCCCCACAACAGCTCTGAAAGTGGGCATTGTTATCTGTACTCCATGGATGAAGAAACTGAGGACTTAGGAAAGTTATGTAACTTGTTCAAGGTGATAAAGTGAATAAATGGTAGAGCCAGGTCTCTACTACTACAAAATCCAATCTCTTGCCACTACTCCAGGGCGTCACAAACTGTGTGTGCAGCAGAATCTCATGGCACTACCTGAGAACCACTCAATCATAAATTTTAAGGGTGGGCCTAAGCATTTGTATCTTAAGCAAGTGCCCCACATGATTGTGATAATACTCGTGCACTGAAGTTTGAGGACCACTAAACCTACCATGCTGCCTCTGTAGCTGTTGTACCATTCCCACCCTCTCCCCTCAAAAAATCCTCCACTCCCCACAGGGTTCTTATGGAGTTGATGAGCCTGTTTCTTGGACTCAGCAACAGTCCATAGCCAGCAGCAACAGAGTGTGATCCTTTGAACTCTAGACCCCTGCTATTCAAAGTGTGGTTCCTTGGCCAGCAGCCCATCTAGCCCTGGAAGCTTGCTTAAAATGTAGATGCTTGGGCCCCACCCTGCGGAATCATAACCTGCATTTTAACAACACCATTCAGGTGATTTAGAGTCTGAGAAGTGCTGCTCTAAAGCATACATTTAAAGTGTAAGGGGACTATAATACAGATATTTCATCAGGCTTCTGCAATCTGCAAGTAAAGACCACCGAAGGAGGTCTTTTATTTATTGAATGCCTGCTATGTGTCTGATGTTTTGGGTACTTAATTTCATTTATCTTCGTAAGAGCCCTATGAAGTAGTCATTATGTCCATTCCACTGGTGAGGAAACTGACACTGAGAAGTTACATTACTAACCCAAGGTCACACAGCATTAAGTGCCTTAGCTAGGATTCAAATGTAAATCTGTCTGACTTCAAAGCTCTTGTATGCTCTTTGCAGCCAGCAGGAAATGAAGGAGTTAGTCTTCTGCCTTGCCACATCTTCCCTGTTGGTGTGTGTTCTTTACAGCTGTAGAATCCAATCACCTGAAACAGTGTATAAGAGTCCTGCAGTTTGAGAGTGGTCAAAATTGAACGGTTAAGTTCTGTGTTAACAGCTCTTTTCTGTGGTGCCTTTCCCTTTGAGCAAGCCTGACCCCCACATTGTTCACCAAAGTTAATTTCAACAACCAAGAAGAAGGATGGACAAAAATCATTGTTCTCTGGGTATGTGACTGGAGTACTGGTTTTCCATTGTCAGAGGGTCCTGACCTTCACTGGTTTTCCAAAGTGCAGAGTTTTTAATGCTTTCTCATCTGGGTTCTGTTTTGCCATGAAGTCATTTCTTTGTGAATTGAGTCATCCCATGCATCATAAACCAGAATTTCCTGCATTGAGCTCCATCTATTTACCTTTTCTTGTTTGTACCTAAGAAAACTCCCAATGAACTGGTATTTTTTTTTAAAAAGGTGACCAGTAAGGGGATCCCAATCCTTGACTTGGTGTTGTCAGCACCACGCTCTCCCAAGTGAGCGTACCGGCCATCCCTATATAGGGATCCGAAACCGTGGCTTTGGTGTTATCAGCACTGAACTCTCCCAGGTGAGCCACAGGCCGGCCCCTCGAATGAACTGTTTTGAATAGGGATCCAAAGCTACTTATTTTATAAAACAATTGAGCCAAAAGCTAAGTATGGAATTTCTTGAACTGATTGTATTCTCTGTGAGTTCTATATTTTTTGCTACTACAAAATCAGTATTGAACTGTCTAGGGTCTCCTCCTATTCGAATTCTACATTCTGATGTATAGTCTAACTATGAGCTCTTTGAGGACAGGCTCTATGTCTCCTATTCATCTGTTTCCTTGGCTCCCAACAGCGTTCTTGGAAGAGACATCAGTAAATGTTTTCTCTCCGTGTGAATGAATCTAGAATTAGGAAAGGAGTTATGGTAACAGCTAATGCTCACTGAGCACTTATTATGTGTCAGGCCCTGCATATGCCAAATTCTGTATACTGTAATTATCTCATCAACCCAATGATATATGAAAGTACTTCACAAAGATTGTGGAAAAATAGAATTAAAAGATAATACAAATCTTTTTATGAACTTTTTGAAGTACCCTCGTAGGTACTATGGCCATCTCCATTTTACTTAGAGGACATTTGAAACTTAGAAAGGTGAAATAACTTCTCAAGTCACACATATAGTGGTCACCAATCACTACATTGGTGGAACTGGAGTCTGAAACCCAGGCAGTTTGACTCTCAAGCCCATGCTCTTAACCAAAAGGCTATACTGCCTCCTAAAACTAATATGTGCTTATTATTCGCCAAGCACTCTTCACATATATTTCATCTACTCTTCACAACTGCTACTGATGTGGAGCCCTTTTTGCCCTTCATTTTAAACAGATGAAGAAACTGAGCCTGTGAGAAGTTAAGTGATTTGGCCAAGATAATGCAGCTACCTAGTGATAAGAGAAAGGGGAGAACCAGGTTCTGCCTGGGGGCAAACCTTGTTGTTTACCCTGCCCCCAGCTGCCTCCCAGGCCCAGTGGCTGCAGTACATGACAATGACACATTCATTTGTTTCGCAAATATTAATTCAGCGCATGTTCTGGGCCAGGTATTGTGCTAAGTACTTTATATACATGATCTCATTTAAACTTCATAGCAACCATGTGATGTGTTGATACTGCTATTTTTATTCTTCCCATTTATAATGGGGAAACCGAGGCTTATGTGTCACTAGTGTGTCAAGTGGAAGTAGTGATAGTCGATAATGTTTATGATGGCTTACTTTGTGCTAGGTTCACTGTTTTAAATGTTTTACATATATTACTTCATGTAATCCTTACATAACCCCATAATCATTGTACATTAGAATATAATATAAAGTACTTTCTCCCTGTTACAGGTAAGGAAGTAGGCATTTGCCCGACTTCACACAGCCAGTAAGTGGCAGGACAGAGTTCACACCCGGGTAGCTGGACTCCAGGGCCTGCAGTGTTAACAGTGTCTCAGTTTTTGTCTTTCTTTCCACAGGCACCCAGATTGGCTGAAAACTTCTGTGTCTGCCATTTGGCTACTGGGGACATGCTCAGAGCCATGGTGGCTTCTGGCTCAGAGCTGGGAAAAAGGCTGAAAGCAACTATGGATGCTGGGAAACTGGTAGGTTTGGTGGTACCAGTGAGTGTTGATATTCCTCAGAGCATCTAGATCTGCACTGTCCAATATGGTAGACACCAACACATGTGGCTATTTAGATTAATTTTGATTTAATTTAATTGAATATTCAGTTCCTCCACTGCATTAGCCACATTTAAGGTGTTCACCCGCCAACGCAGATATAGAACATTTCCATCATCACAAAAACTTCCGTTGGACAGCTCCATGCTAGAGGATATTTTAACAAACTGACAAATTACGTGAACTATATTATAGAGTAGCAAGTTATGAGGACCATTCTGAATTTATGGCACTTAATTTATTCACAGTATTCTTGTTCTTTTGTACTGATGCATTTTGTAATATACCCAAATTTTAGGGCCAAAAATGAAACTTCTACCCCTAGGCCAGAACTCAGGAATATATTCAAGAGGACTCAGGAAGTCACAGAAGTGTTTTTTAATCTAGTTTTGTGGCTTAGTGTTCTGTATCTCCAGCAAGGGAGTTACTTGGCAATTGTGACAAAGGTGATCCTTCCTATTTGGGGGGTATAAATAGCATTTCCTCTTGGTTTTAGGCCAACTTATCTGATTGGACAAATATAGTCTGTTATTCTATTATCTACTAAATCTTCTTTCTGATATGTTTTTTTGGGGGGTAGCGTGGGGTACCTGGCCAGTATGACCTTGTTACAAGGCTGCACTCTAACCAGTCGAGCTAACCAGCCAGCCCCTAAATCTTCTTTGATTAATGCCAGAATTTAGTTATATCTGCTTTTCTGGAACTTGACCTCTGGGAATCACCTTCAGAAGTCATTTTGTGTGTGGTCCTCTGGTCTTTTCCTATCTTAGAATGTTGGTTGGGGAAGGTGCTAGGCTTTGCTTTTATTCCCAAGTTACCTTCTGTTAAGTTTGAAATTCTGTAGCTATATTGAATGGTACCTCTGCCTGCCTCCCTGTTTCTTTCTAGCTTCCCTTTTATGTTAATGAGGTCTTGAGTCAAAGCAGAAAGCTAGATATTTTGAACTTTGGGTCTTGGCAGAAAATTCTGTATTGAGAAAAAATTGGGGTGTGGCAATGAGATTACATTATCTCCAGTATTCACTTAGTCTCAGAGCTTATACTTTGTCCCCAAGTTCACAGCTGTTCTCAAGAGATAAGAGCATTAGATGCCAAGATGGGCAGCTTTTGCTGTAATGTAGGATAGGAACTTTTCTATAAAGGCCCCGGGGGTGGAGGTGCAGTTTTTGAAAGCTGGGAGAGGTCCTTATTGGAGTTTTAGAGAGGCTTAAGGTTGTGTTGGGTTGGCTTTTCAGTTCCTTGATTCTGACATGGTCTTGCCAGTTCAGCAAACTTCTCTGTTGTCTCACGTCCAAGTTGGCCCAGATGTATAACCAAGTGCACACCTCAGTCACATTGCTGTTAGCCTAATCAAAATTGTGAAACAGAGAGCTGGTGACTTTCTGTTTTCTGGTCAATCCCTGTTCTGTCCTGGAACTCTCCACAGGTCATCTTTCAGCCATGTGTCCTCACCTTTCTTGTGCCTTAAGGACAGCTATTATCTGATGGTTAGGACTCTGACTCTGACATCTAACCTAAGGAGAGGCCTAATGGGGTGACAGGCAATGGAATTCTTCTTCCCCTTACTCACATTATTTGGACACAGGAGAATTTCACCAGAAAAGAATGTGTATATGGCAACCACAGAAATAATCATGAAACTGCATCTTCCAAATAGAACCACTCCACATTTGCTCTGATGTTTTATTCTTTGGGGTCAAGAAGACTTGCTGTTTAGTAATAGGGTTATACACACACAAACTTTTGACTCTGGAGTTGGGCTAATGTCACTTAGTTAGCAGATTTAAACCCAGGGCTTTTTTGTTCTTTCAGGTGAGCGATGAAATGGTAGTAGAGCTCATTGAGAAGAATTTGGAGACCCCTTCATGCAAAAATGGTTTTCTTCTAGATGGCTTCCCTCGGACTGTGAGGCAGGCAGAAATGGTAGGTAGCTTAGTTTTTGTATCACCACGGCATGAAAGCAATCTCTGGCCTTTATCTCCTAATTCCTTTACAGGAGATGGGTCTGACCAAGCTTAGGTGGGCCACACACTCTTTTACAGCTTGATGACCTCATGGAGAAGAGGAAAGAGAAGCTTGATTCTGTGATTGAATTCAGCATCTCAGACTCTCTGCTGATCCGGAGAATCACAGGAAGGTATTTGTTCCCTGAAGGTCCCTTCTTTTCATGCTTCCTCAGAGCTTTGTATGAAAATTACTCTTTTCTGATCCCAGCCATGAAGCTTAGCACCATTTCCACAAGGATTGATCTTATCTGGTGACATCTGCTGAAGTGGTGACATGGTTTGGGGTATGGAAAGAAGTGCAAGGGATTTGAAGTCAGACAGCATCTCAGTCCTGTCACCTTTTAATTCTGACCCTAGGCACATTTCTTAGCCTCTCTAAGGCCCCGTCCTCTTATGTAGAATGAGGTAAATAATACCTGCTTTTTTAGTAGCTGTTGTGCATGTTAGATAACTAAAGTGCATAGTTTAAGGACTTGCTTATAGTCAGTGCTTAAGAAATTTTAAATTTCTTACATGTGTACCTATATTTTAGTGCTTTTTTTTTTCCTTTTGTCTTTTTTGTTCTTTTTTATCTTTTGAAATTTTTTTTTCTTTTTTTATTTAAAACATAAAACAAACCCTTGTGTCAAGGGCTGACTCTAAATAGATTGCAGTGAGAGAGCTGCTCTGCTACCTACAAAATTAGTGCTTTTCTTAATCTGATTTCAGTTGGAGTTGCCATACTTTGCTATAAGCTTTTTATTAATTATAAAAATAATGGGACCTGTACACAAAGTTTAGAAAGTGGAGGAAAAATTTGCTCATAGCACAGCTACCCTATTATTTTTGTTTTGTTTTAATGTATTCGTTTCTCTATAATAGTCAATGTTGAACACAGAAATGCTTCTGCTTCTGAACAAGTTTGTTCTGAAAGACCACCACTGCTTTAGGTTATAGATTCTATTACCCTATTTTATGGTTTTGGGGGTTTTTTTGGTGTGTTGGTTTGGTTTTTTTGTGGCTGGCCAGTACAGGGATCCAAACCCCTGACCCTGCTGTTATCAACACCACACACCAACCAACTAAGCTGACTGGCCAGTCTGTACCCTATTTTATTAATCACTCTGCCATCTGCTTTGTGCTTCCACAGATATTGGAAGCTCTCAATCATTAATGGGCCCTCCATTTTCTTCTTTATTATAGGCTATAGCTTTCGTGTCTTTGTCATTTTAATGGAGTCTCAGGAAGGTGGTTGGCCCACCATCTTGAACCAGACATCCACAACCTTTATTTTAATTTTTTTTACTTTGGTGGGTGGCTGGTACAGGGATCGAACCCTGGACCTTGGTTTTAGCAGCACCACACTTTAGCCATCTGAGCTAATCAGCCAGCCACCCATGACCATTATTTTTAATTGCTGCGTGATATTTCACAGTAGGCGAACCATCATTTACTTAATGATTCCCTTATTGTTGTACATTTGTGTTTGTTCCAATTGGCCACTGTTAAATTGATGTTATGACCACCATAGTACGTGTACACTTTTGGGCTTAATTAGAAGGAAAATGTTTTCTTGTTTTAGACTTTATTCCTTTGATTTCCTTATTAGGTCGAACATTTTTTTTCCATGTGTCTATAGTCTGTACCTTCAAGGAGAGAGGCAAATGTGAATAGATAGCAGAAGTGAGTGTTGGAGGTGTTTTCTTAAAGGCTATGTGAAATATAGTGTGGTCTTCCTTAATATTAACCTTCTTTTCAAATGTCCACATTTCATGTTTCCAGCTATTCCATCAGTTCCTTCAATGCAGGGACTTTGTTTCTTTGCATCTCCATTGATGCAAAGGGTAAATAAACAAAGTTGATATAGGCCAAGAAGCAGTAGAGTTGACAGTAAGGGACTCACCAGGTCCTGGGTCCCTGAGGTGCAAAGGGGATGTTAACAGAACCAGGTGACACTGGAGGCCTTTGATTCGAGGGGCCCAGCTTCCTGAGTACCCACTTTCCTGCATAGCACAGCTCTAGACCTTGAGGTTGGAGGACCAGGAGAGACTCTTGAAGAACAATATAGTAATGCCCATCTCCTACTTCAGAGAGTTATATATGAAACGTGGCATGTTCTATTAAGTGGAGTAGGAAGTCCAAGAAGAGATCCTGGGGATAGGGAGGGGAGATTGCCTAGGAGAGGTATAACACCAAACTCTTCCCAGATGGAAAGGATTTCAGTAGGGCTTTCCCAGAAGGAAGTACTAGCAGGATGAGTATGGGTTGAGAGAGGAGCTCTGACTGGGGCTAGTGGCAGACATGTCTGCCCAGAGTTGGAGGAGTAGTCTGGGGGGCTAAGTGGTAGAAGGAGTGCTATTGGGAAGATAGATGGGAGCTTGACTGGGGAGGTCTGCCAAGCCAAAGAGGGTAGTCTTGACCAAGAGTTCACTAGTCACGGAATATTCTTGAGTCACTGAGTATTGTGGTATAAACAGCATCCTGGGCCGGCCTGGTGGCACACTGCTACAGTGCGCCTCTTGGGAGTGCGGCGGCGCTCCCGCCGAGGGTTCGGATCCCACATACAGACCGGTTCCCGCTCACTGGCTGAGCGAGGTGCGGGGGCAACACCGAGGGTTGCGATCCCATTGCCGGTCCGGTCCGGTGCGGGCGCGACACTGAGGGTTGCGATCCGTTGCCGGACACGAAAAAAGACAAAAAGGAAAAAAAAAAAAAAAAACAGCATCCTAAGAGCATTACCTTAGTCCTGGCATACAGGCTAAATGGGGGAGACAAGAAATAGGTAAGGACCTAGGATCCTGATTGTGACCCACATGAAGTGATGGAGACCTCTAACTGGAGTTGGATTGTGAGGAATTAAGCAAAAAGGAGGTTAAAGTATAATGCCCTCCAAGTTGAGAAGGTACTTTGAGACCAAAGGAGAAAGCAAACAGGTCCATTCAGTAATCAGAGATATTTATTAATCAGGTGACTTACATAAAAAGAAACTGGACACAGTGAAGAATCAGACATCAGCAGGTGAGAGCTTGCTCTCTCTGCAAGTTAAACAGTGATTATACAGCAGAAGCCCCTGTTGTTAAAAATAACTTCAATGAAACATCTTAAGAAAAATAAGTTGATAATGTCATTCATTAGATGTCTTTGTGATTCATGAGGTAGGGGGTCTTGTGATTTTAGTGCTCAGACCACTGACCCCACCTGCTGTAATAAATCATTCACTCCTTGAAACCCATGTTTCTTTTACAGCTTGCCCCAAAGTTAAGGTGTACCTAGTCAGTGAAGCAAAGGAATAAGGTTAAATGGAAGGCAACATGGCAAGCAGAGCACAAAATGGCATTAGCTTTGTTCACCCTCTTAACAGGAACAGAGCTTCTGAAGCACAAACTTCAGGATTATTGTAGAGGGTGAAGGAGAGAAGACTCAGTCCCTCATTTTGGAAATAACTAGTTTACTGTGACTATCTCCTTTACAGGGCACACCAGACTGGTGAAGGTGTTTTACCAAGTTCACCTGCAGATGAATGGCAGGGCTAGCACCAGAAGCCTGCTTTCTGCCTCCTTGTCCACTATGCTGGTGGTTGGAAGAAAATGAGGCATGAACTAGTTGTTTTAATACAGATCTTGTTTAAGTCTGTGATAAGGACCCCACTGTAATAGTCTTCTGAATTAGTTCTGACCTCACTTCTAATAAGTGAGTCATTATTTTGTTTCTTGAATATGTATTGTTGGTGGTTTTTGTTATTGTTTTTGACCTATTTGATATTGGCTGTCTTGTCCCTACTAATTGGTTCTCTGATATCATTATCATAATGTCTAGTACCATCCCCATTTCACAGATGAGAAAACAGCTGTCTAAAGTGTCACACCCAAGGTAGAATGACTGTAGAATCCTAGTCCTGATCACTCCACACCATCCCCTTCACCTCTAGGCCAGTCTTGGAAACTGTTTTGGTTGGTGCTTAAAACCAATCCCATTTTGAGAACTTCAAGATTGGGCTTTCTTTCTTTCATTTACCTTCAAGGAAATGAGCCTTGCATTCCTCTTAAAAATGATGTTTGTGAATGGGGAAAGAGCAGTGTGTTATATGTAACTGGAGGGCTGAGGGAATCTGGGGAGTTGATGAGAAGTAGTGTAGAGCTATGAAGAGGAGAGAGTTGTATTTGTTACAACCTGGCTGCTATGTGCCCTGTGTTCTCTAGAAGGTGAAGAAATATCATGGTCCACGTCTCATGCCCCCAGCCCTTCCCAAAGGTACTGCAGCTGAGTCCACCAGCCTGTGCTCCCCCTCTCCCTGGGTCTCCTAATAGACGCCATTTCTGAATGGATGCACCAGAAGAACTCTCCCAGGGACCCAAATGATGGAGGGACTAACCTCTTAGTACAGTACAGTCACAGGCCTGTACACTCCTCTCTATGACTTATTTTATCTGCTGTCACCCCCCCTCCAAATAATCCTCATACATCTTATGTCATAAATGAGCCATCTTATCCCCCAAGAATATGCTCTGAATAAAATGCAGTATCACATTTTACAGAGGTATGGGTTCAATAGCCTAAATATAAATAAATAGAATTTCCCACCTGATGTGCCAAAATATTGATCCTCTTAGCCATCAGAACAATAGGGCAGGCCTGGGGTAGCCATAGCGCCCCCAGAAGAAGCAAGCCCCCAATGTACTGTACAAATATTATTTTTGTGCATGCTAAGAGGTGAAAAATATTAGGAACCTCTGGTCTAACAGACCTTCATGAAGAGAGCTGCCATCAGTTAAATAAGCAAACACTTGGTTGGCAGGGAATTGGGAAACCACACAACTCAAGGCGAGCCCTGGCTGCTGAGCAGAGTTTGGCCTGCCTCTTTCCCTTCTTAGGTTTCTGGGCTCCTATGGTATGGCCATTCCCAGTCAAGATGGTGAGCTTGTTGCTTCAGGGGGCTCAGCACAGATGCTGCTACCAGCTACGTAGTCAGTGCCAAATAAATGCTTGTTCTTGTGCTCTCTATTCCATGACTTGTTTATCATGATGTTCTTCTTATGACTTGAATGTTTCTCCGTAATAGTTAGGCCGTCCTTTATCTGTTTGATCACAAAGATGTGCTGTGTTGTCTGGTGGTGGTTGCATAGTGGGACATACTTTTCCTGTTAGCACCTTTCTGGTTTTGTAACCAAACTAGATTAGAAAATAGGGTTAATTTCTCTGTCTTCTGTTCCCCATAGCACTTTGTACAAACCCCTCTGTTAAAGGATTATCATATTCGTTGTCATTATTTATTTCCACTCTTGTCTTCCCACTAAGCACTGCTTGTGAGCAGAGATCTTTTTTTTTTAAAAAAAAGATGACCGGTAAGGGGATCTTAACCCTTGACTTGGTGTTGTCAGCACCACGCTCAGCCAGTGAGCGAACCGGCCATCCGTATATGGGATCCGAACCCGGGGCCTTGGTGTTATCAGCACCGCACTCTCCCGAGTGAGCCACGGGCCAGCCCTGTGAGCGGGGATCTTAACTTGTTGCTTCATAGCCCCTGGATTCAACTTAAGGTATGAGTGGGACTAGACACTTACTAACGTTTGTTGAATGAATGGGTGAATAGAATGGATGGCTGTGAGAGAGCAGCAGGAGATTCCTTCTCTCAAGTCCTGAATTAGGTAGTTATGCTAGAAGTTTGCCGCTTCAACCAGATACTCGTTATAATGTTCGGTCAAAACAGAAAACATACTAACGCTGCCATTGGCATAAGCTCTCCTGGAAGCCTAGTTATTTTCCTAAGCAAGAGATGCTGGGTTCTCTACTGGTTAAGTCCTTAGATCCAGCTCCTCTGCCTCTGCTAGTCGTTCTGGAGACTCTTGGGGTACAGGGTATGTTTTCAGGCAGTCTGATTCATGTTCATTTGCTGTCTTTCAGGCTGATTCACCCCACCAGTGGCCGTTCCTACCATGAGGAATTCAATCCCCCAAAAGAGCCCATGAAAGATGACGTAAGTAAACTCAGGATAGGAAATTTCCTTTTTTTCCCTTCCACTTTCTTTGCTATTTACTTCCTTTTTTTTTTTTCTTTTTTCTTTTTATCTTCCCTTTATTTCTCCCAATTACTAACTTAACCATGAAAAATATCACCAAGTAAATCAGATGGCCTATGGCAGATCTAGTCATTTTCTCCCCAGGTGATTTACTGCTTGACCTCAAGGTAGCTACCAGTGCCAGCTACTTCCACCTGTCCAGATTGTACCTGTCTTCTGTTCAGAGGAGCCCCTTTCTTACATCATGGCCACCTACGTAGTGAACTAATCAGAAGGTTGCTTCGAAGCCCAGAACTGGGGAGGGAAGAATGGGGATAGTACTGAAGAGAAGTTTGCTGACCAGTCCTCCAGAAGAATATCCTCTCTCAATAGTGATTTCTCTACTATGCTCTGGGGTCTCATATATGGTCACTGTACCATTTGCCATAAGGAGTCCATATTGTTGTTTTAGAGCATTCAGGCAATAGTATGAATTTCCCAGGTTTACCTTTTTAATACGAGACAAGTCTATCAGGTCACCCAGGTTCTATAAATACAGGTTCCAAAACTATTATGTCAACTTAGTCACATTTTGTAAAGTTGGTAATTCTACCATTCAAAGTTCTTTCTAATTTTATTTAGCACTTTTAGAATGCTGATGGATAACACTCCAGTAAAACACTAAATATTTAGACAACTAAGATTATACTTGCTAATGCATCTCTGATTTTGGTGTATTCTCCTAGTCTCGATGGCCTCTGTCTTCCTTGCTTCAGGCACTAGAAGTGTTCATCTTGGAAGCAGAGCAGCCTGAGCACAAAGTTGTGAGAGAAAGCATTGTCTATCTTCCTCTCATGAGCCCCTTTCCTCACAGTTGCAGTTTCTGACAGGCTCCCTAACTTCCCTGGACAGCTTGTGGGAGTAGCAGAGTTCTTTATTGGAGAGGGTCTGGACTGTCTGTTTGTGCCTCTGATGGACTTTCAGATCAGACAGCATCCCAAGCAGAATGGTCCCATCTCAAATCTGCATCTGGCATGGAATAAGGAAACTTTGCTAATAATCCCAGCCTTTCATCGCTCAATTCCTGTTCTCAGATCACTGGGGAACCATTGGTCCGTCGATCAGATGATAATGAAAAGGCTTTGAAAATCCGCCTGGAGGCTTACCATACTCAGACTGCGCCACTCGTGGAGTACTACAGGAAACGGGGGATCCACTCTGCTATTGATGCATCCCAGACCCCTGATGTCGTGTTTGCGAGCATTCTAGCAGCATTCTCCAAAGCTACATGTAAAGACTTAGTTATGTTTATCTAATGTTGGGTCCACAAAGGAATTTCTTTCTTCTTTCTTTCCTTGTTGAGGGAATGGGTGGGAATGGCAGTGCAGGCAGAGGGAAGCTTCCTCAAGCTAGCAAGGATATCATTTGATGTATTGATTAAAAAAGCACTTGCTTTATGTACCTTTGGCGTGTGTGCAGCTCTCATCTCATCTGTGTGTGTGTTGGAATAAGTATGTGTTCACTCTCCTACTTGTACTCTCTAGTACACAACCTACTGAGATTTAGGCTAGGTTGCTTTACTGACTGTTTACTTCTTTAGCCATTTTCTTGATTTTGTATTTTGACCAAAATAAATTAACCCAGATATTTGCCAGGCAGCTCCAAAACATCATAGAATTTATTCCATCTCCATCAGGGTCACGTGAAGTCAGGCAGGCTCACAGTTCCTGATTGCAGATTGTTGGCAGGGAATTCCACTTGCTTTCTAGCCCATAATGGAAAGCCACATGAGTCAGTGTGTGAACAGGGATCATTAATTTTTTTCCCATAAATGGAAGAAAAAAAGACACTTACATTACAGATTCCAGAAATTACTGGGAGACGGTATCACCATCAAAAGAGGAGGCAAAGTTGTCATATTTTTATGATCTGCATCATGGTACTGTAAAGTAGGGATTATTTGCAACTTCGGCTTGAAAACTGAATTGTTGCCAAGGCAATAAACCAGGTGCGAGGTCCTTTTGAATTCAGATTGTCTTCTGAACATCCAGGCTGAGCATCTGAAAAGAGCCAAATCTGCTTTCCCAAAGACAGACCAGGGTATGTTTTTGTGCTTTTATTTTTAGTGTTTGCTTCTGTTTCCAATTGTGAACAAAACAGTAGCTTGGGGGTGATCTACTCTTGGATTAATTTAGAGCAGAATTTATTCAAACCCAGTCTCTCTCTAGGATGCGAAACCCAAATCAGATGTATCTCTTTTAAACCCAAACCCTCTTCCTCCCAGACCCAATTTTTCACCCATTATTTCATGATGGTGATAGCCACAGACTCCCCAAGAAAAGATCACTCCCAAATAAGACCGTCTATGATAGTAACCAGCTTTTATTCATAACCCTAGCTGCCCAACTATTAAGCATCCTTGCTGTGCCTTTTGGTCTCTGATTTGTGGCAAACAAACGAATTAATAGACTGCTGTAAAGGACCACAAAAACAGCAGCCTCTGTAAAAACCATTGGAAAGTCAGTGGCAGGTCCAGTAAATAATGCTGCCTGCTTCAGCATAATGTGCTGCTGACTCGGTGTGGTGGACTCTAAATCCCATTCTGCATCTGACCTGAGCTCTCCTCCTGTCTGTGAGACTACCAGAGAGGCCTTGTCCTCTGTTGCACAGAAACAGAGCATGAGTGTGTGGCCATCTTGCTTCCCTTTTTGCCTTGCCCTAGTGAGTATCTGCTGCTTCTGCTTTGTTTCCTGTCTCTAAACTAACTCCACCCACTCTTAAGGGAAACCCAGTCTGGTTTTGTGTGTTTCTGGGAAGGACATGACTTCTGGGAATGGGCAAAGATGAGGAGTGAAACCAAAACTACCAGCTATGGCTGCAGGAGTCGGGGATCCTCCTCTGGGTGAGAGTGGCCTCATGAATCTTGAAATTGCTTCCCCTTTGTTGGGACAGTTGCAGGCACTTGGCCTCAAAGTTGAAGTCCTTGAATGCTGGCTAGTTAAATGTGCATGACCCTGGCCCAAATATTTGTCATCCATCCACATACATTCACATGTGCATTCATGCAAACACATGTGTATGTGATATTTGGGTTGCTAGTGAAAACTAGATCACAAGGGATACACAGGCCCTTTTCATTGCTTTATTTAATTCTAGAATCTTAACCTCAGCAGACATGAGAGCTTTCACCTGGCAGAGAAATGTCTAGTGTTTAATGCATTTGGTTGCTGTGGTGTGCATGCCACCCTTCTCTGATATTTACTTGGTTTTTAAAAACCCATTTTGTTCTCTCTTGTTTCCTCTCTATTTCAGCCTAGTAACAGAAGGCCAGGCGAGACTGCACCACTGTTCATCTCCCCACGGCGTGATCCCTGCTGTTAGGTGCTGGGCAGAGGGGAAGGGGGTCAGGGTAAGGATGGAGAGGGAGGGGTGGTGAGGGGCACAAGAGGAGTATTTGGAAGAGCAGCAGTGTTGTAGTGAGGTGGTTTCTTTCAAACATAGGTGGGAGTTTTAGAAGTATCAGTAAAGAGGAAAATTAATTAAAAGAAGAAAACACTGTGATTGGAGGGTATGGGTAGAAATAGAGAGATACAGTATTATTTCTAAGGAATCCAGTTTTCATTTATTCTGGACTGGTGACAATATTTTTTAAAGCCAATGCCCGAAGACCTCAGCTTTTATCTCAGAACCTCATGAGTTGCAAGGCCAAGAATGCGGGAAATCAAACTGTTGTCCTGTGTGTCCTATAGCTTGGATTAAGGAGGGTTTGATTACTCACACTGGTTCCCCACATCATGAGATAAAAAAAATCATCTTCACATTTGAAAGATATATGGGGTATATTCATGGGGGTGGTGGCTCAGCAAATAAAGTTTGCTGGAATCCTAGTGAAGGGAGGGAAGCTGGTCTCACTCCCTTCCCCTTACTTACCACTGGTTTACCAATCCACCTGCTGTCATGGGTAAGCTCTCAGCAGCTTCCCAGCGCGTGCCACAGCCCTATATTCTTGCCTTCTTTCATCCATGGTGTGTGAAGGGACCCTTTTAAATAAATGAGCAAGTGTCCTAAGCTACATAATCGAAAGATTGTCCTTTCCATCTTCAAATCCTGTGACTAGGATCACTTGATAGCACTGTGATATATTATTTTCAAGGAGGTGCCTTTCTTAACTGACCAAATGCTGCCTTGTTTGGACCACAAATCAATAAAGTATGTTAAAAATTTGTATCCCCTGTTGTGGCGTTTTTTGAGGGAATCTGGGCTAGAAAAATGACATTGAAGTCTGGACCTGGCTTGCTTATGGTCACTAGCAGCCATGTGGTAGGGAGGTCCAAGTGTGTGCTCATAAGATGAGCCTGTACCCTCTTGACCTTCAGGTCTTATGCAGGCCTTTCTTGAGCCCAGACACAAGGCAGCTTGGTCTAGTGGAGATAGCACTATGCTTGGAGTTCAGGGTACCTGGGACAAATCCCAGACAGTAATTCATTCTGCCCCTGCTTCCTCATTTGAAAAAGAAGGCTGGTAATGACACCTCAGATTTATTGGCATTAAGTGAAGTTTATATGGAGAAGCTTTTTGCTAGGTGCCTGGCACACCGTAAACATTAGATAAATGGTAGTTAGATCAGAACATACACAGAAAAAATATGTTTCCTGCCAGGATGAAAAATCATTGAATGGACAGCCTAGAAAGCCAGTGCTTCTAATCCCTAAGCCAGATCTTTGGTGACCTTTTCAGCTGCTTCTTTAACACCGTTCATTGCATATTTGGTTTTCTGTTTTAAATTCATTTCCTCTCTAGCAAAAGTGAGCTTAAATCTTTTGTCTAAACTGAAGCTCTTCTGCTTTTGGAAGGGCTGCCTTTCCTAGTGAGATTTCTGAGAAATGACTGCTATTCTTGAAACCAGAGGGAGCTGGGTTGGAAGCGCCACCATCCTTCTACAGGCATCTTGTTCCTGAGAGAGGAAAAGTCCTCGCTGGTATATTTAGTCCCACTCCCTGAGCTAGTCCCACTCCCTGAGCCAGCCCCTCCCTGTTCTGCTTTACCACTTCCACCCCTCTGCAGAGCATTTTTAGGTGTTAACATGACGGATTCGCTCTGATCTTTTCATTCCCTGGGCTATTTAAATGCCCATGAAAATTATCTTCCCTTCCTTGGTTATCATGCATCCAGCTGGGGAGAAATGTTTGTCAAACCAGTCTGGGAAGCAGCATGGAGTGGTTGAAAAGAATAAACTGAGAGAAGACTAGGTGAGCATTTTTTTGTTTGGTTCTTTGGACCTTGGTTTCCTCATCTAACCAAAGTTGGATGAGATAAGAATTGCTGTTGCCCCAGAGGACTGACATTATGCCAGGTACTAGGTAAAAGCTTCACATCCTTGACCTCACATAACCCTCATAAAGCACTCTGTGCAGTTGGAACTGCTCTTCTCCTATTTTACAGGTGAGGAAACCAAGTCTCAGGGAGGTGAAGTAACATTCCTGAGGTCACACTTATAAAAGGCAGAGTCGGAACTCAAATGCAGGCTCTGACACCAGTCTGTCCCCTTGACCTTGTTGCTGAAGTGATTTATTGACTTGTGTAGATCTACAGGCAGGAAAGACCCCACTGATTAAGAGCTCTTTTTCATGGACACTCACATTGCTAGAACTGATTTTGAAGAAGTTACTACCAGTTCTGAGGACCCAAGGTGTATGTCTTAGGATCTCCTGTATACACAAAGTGTTGCTGGCAGAACAGACCTGACCTCAGAAGCTTCACAAGTCTCTCTTCGGAGGAAGATAGCTCAGTGAATCAGAAGACAGATTTCAACAGCAACCCCTCCACCACGAATCCTTGGGCAAGTTACCTCACTTCATCAGTAGAATAGGAATGATGCCTACCCCGAGGTGTGCTGACAACACTGGTGATCAAGATACTCAATGTGGGTCAGGATGCCCAGTACACAGCAGATGCTCAGTAAATGCTGATGGAGTTCAGGGGGGAAAATGTAGGCATTCGTGAGCTATTGTCTTCCTGACCATCAACAAACAGCCTAAGGATTCTTAACCTGAGGATCCCCTAGAAATCCTGAACCTCTGCAGGATTCTCTTTGTGTTTTCATAATTAATTGTAGTTTAACATATACTGAATGCTTACCGTGTGGGAGGTTCTGCATACATTACCTCATTTCTTCTCAGTAACGCTGTGGAGGTAAGTACTGTTGTTATCTCCAGCTACATCTATGGACTTTGAGGCTCATACATCTGATAATGGCAGAACCAGAACCTGAGCCCAGGTCTGCAGCTCTATACCCCAGCCTCTTACCACTGTGCCAATTGCTGTAGTACTTTGCTGGGGAGAGGAGAAAGGTCCTCAAAGGCACTTGTGAAAAGGCTACAAGCCATGGATCTAAATGAAAGGAGAAGAAATTTGAGTAGTTTTGCTCTGTCACAGTGAAGGACCTGAGTGGAGAGTGCTGCCTCAGGTAAGTCCTTTTTCTATTTTGTCATCCTGTGTTGCAATGTGCTGGATTTGCAAAGCTGTTGGAACCACCATTATTCTTTAAGGGCCAGAAGGATGAGTTACTTTGGGTGAGAAGAGTCAGTTTCCCTCTGGTTCTGGAGAGAGTGGCAATGGGAGAGTGTGTATACTGGTTCTACTTCACAGTCAGCCCTCTCAGACTGCAGCTTTGTGGCTAATGGCGTTGCATTTTTCATGACTCCAGAAGGAACACTGCCCTGACATCTTGAGAGTGCAGCAGCTCTGTGTTTACAGTTGTCCAGAGCAATGTGATAATGAACTTCCCTCACAGAGAGCACCTGGAAGATGGGTTGAGGTACCCCCAGCAGAGAACATATGGGATTGGAAAGACAAGTCATCAGAGAATAAGAAAAGACTTGGGTCTATTACCTGTGCAGATAACCCTCAGGCCAATAAACCCAATAGATCTGTACTTTTGGGATGAAGTTGCTATGGAGAAAATCATTTCATCATATGGTGTCTCTTAGATAAAAACTTTAGGATAAATTCCTCTGAGCTTAGAACTAGGACATAATTATGCTCCCTGTTTAGTTGGTCTACATTCTTCTGTTAGGTCAAAAATACTTCATTTTATACTGTTTTCCCTTTTGCGCTGGCTATGAGGAAACTCAGAACTAAATTTTGTGTTCAATTGCTATTCTTTCCTCTGCCAGTTTCTAATAAAATTCTTACCCCACCCCACCCAAATCTCAGTTTTATGTTTAGCACTTTTGTGCTCGCACGTGTGTTGTAAACTGCCTTGAAGTCTATTTTGGAAGAGAAGCAGGGTATAAAGGAAGGGCTAATTATGCAAGTGGTCAGACTGCAGAGAAGAGGATAGCTTTGTGAAGGAGGTGGGATCCAGATGGCTCTAAGCAGAGGGTAGGGGCATTCCAGCAGGAGGCACAGCCAAGAGAAGGTACAGAGGCCACTGGGGCTCAGGGCTGCTCTAGCCTAGTGAACGCCTAGAGTTCTTGGGAAATTTACATCAGGTTGGAAAAAGTGTTTTTCAAACAAAGTACAGTAACACAAAGTGACAGTAGAAGGGAAGTTTTCAGCTCATGGATAACATCAAGAACCTAGAAGAGCAGAAGACAAAGCTATGTACACATAGAGTTGATGGCCTAGTTTAAGCTCAGCTCATGTGCTCCCCCTTTCTCCTTCCCCACAATCTGTGCTTTGATCATGAACTAGACAATCTTTTACTGTGGGACTAAAAGGGGGGGACTCCCTCAATTTTATTGTCATCTCTGTTCTAGTCATATGCCTGGTATGGGCATGGGTTCTGGGAATGACCAAAGATGATCTGTGGTTAGATCTTGGCACTCACAGTAGCTCATGATGTGCCTTGGGGGAGATGCTTAAACTCTAGGCTACAGGGCATTCATCTGTAAAATGAGGATCATAGCACCCAACTAGAAGGGTGGTGGAGTTCATATGGATTGAAAAATAGCTGCCCTGTAGACGACCCGTTCTGTCTCCCTTCCCATGGCTATTTGCCAAGGAAAAAAGGACCTTACCATGACTACCAGGTACTTCAGGATGGGTATCTTCACTCATTCCTATTCCCCAATGCCACCTCCATCACTTTGGAATACTGTACCAAACCAGAATGGATTGCTTTTCACTGGGATGTTTCCTGACTACCAAGTGTGCCCCTGGATGGAAATGGAAATCAGTTCTTTTCCCCAGGAATGCAGGTTCTATTCCAGGCTGACAGGAGGCAATGTGGTCCTGTCCTGGCAGCCAGCCAGGTAGTGATGGTCTTGGCACCCACAAAGCCCAAAGCACACTGAGGAGGACTCTCTATAGTTGAAGGTGAGAGAAACAGGAGCTGCTGCTTAAACCACGCCTTGGGCTGGCAGTACCTACTTGGATCCCACAGAACCGCTCTGATGGCTGCCTGCAGGAACTGCCCTCCTTAGGGCAAAAATGGGAGGGAGCATGGAAAAGCATGATGGGATAGGTGGGTGTGCTTCAGTTGCACTGACACCAGGGAGGTGTTAAAGTGGGCAGAAAGTCTCAAGAATTTGTTGGCTTATGTTTTGAAAACCTTTGAAAATTGCCTGATAGTAAGGGAATGAAAACAGTACCTCCCTCTTGGTGTGGTGGGCAAGATGAGTTCGTGCATGTCAGGTGCTCTAGAACGGTGACACGCACCATGCTCAGTAAGTATTCCGTAGCCAGCAGCTCTGGCTCAATTCCAGTTTGTCCCTGTATCCTAAGGAAATAACTAACTATATGTAGAAACCATTTTTTATTACAGGGTAAGAATTGGAAACAACCTAAGTTTCCAACATGGGAGATTGGCTATGATTCATTCACGGGATGGAATAGTATGTGATCATAAAATAAGTCATTTCAGGGGCCGGCCCGGTGGCGCACTGCTACAGTGCGCCGCTTGGGAGCATGGCGGCGCTCCCGCCGAGGGTTCGGATCCCACATACAGACCGGCTGCTCACTGGCTGAGCGAGGTGCGGGCGCGGCGCCGAGGGTTGCGATTCCGTTGCCGGTCCCAGTCCGGTGCGGGTGTGACACTGAGGGTTGCGATCCGTTGCCGGTCACAAAAAAAGACAAAAAGGAAAAAAAAAAAAAGTCATTTCAAGACAGAAAAATCTCATGATAAAATATTGGGTAAGTAAAAGTTTTGAAACAATACAGAATGGGTCCATTTTTTAAAGTTGACTTTATTTTGAAATAATTTTAAGTTTACAGGAAGGTTCCAG